GGAGCCGCCCGAGTTATGAATGGACGAGGGCAGCGTGGGCACGATCCGGGCACGGGGCGTGGGCGTGGGGATACGGGCAGGGATAGGGCAGAGATAGGGCAGGGATCGGGCAGAGATAGGGATACGGATACACATACGGATAGGGATGCGGATACAGATAAGGATACGGGCAGGGCCGTGGGCAGGGCCACTGCCAGATGCCTCTGGAGCTGGCTCTGCTTCCTCAGCCTGAGGAGCTGGCAAAGGACCACGCTGGCAGCCTGGAGATGGGCACTCCCCTTTTGGCAGCACTGGGACCCCCCTTTGGCACTTCTGGGTCCTCCCTGTCACCGCTGGGACCCAGCGAGTGCACTCAGCCCGGGCTGGGGGCCAGAGCCTCCCCCTCCTGGCAGATGCCCAAGAACATGGTGTTTTAACCTGATGTTCTACAAAAAAGGGGCTGGGGGATAAAGAAGGAGCAGCTCTGGTCGGGGGGGCTCATCCTGGACATAGCACAGGGGACTCGGGGTGTGTTGGCTCCATTGGGAGCAGCAGCCCCAAGTCTGCCTGCGATGGCACATTTCGGAGCTGCCCACTGTCCATGGATGCTGCAGGACAAGGATCCAACCCACTGGGGGCACTGCTGTGATGGTCCCAGCCCCCAGTGCCATGTCATGGCTGACCTCCCACCCAGGTACCACCAGGATCCTCATCCCCCATCTCCCCTCACAGCCGATCCCTGGCAGAAGATGACGGTCCCAGTGCCCAACAGCACGGCGGTGCCGTGGGCTGGTGTGGCAGCACGGCCGGAGCCAGATCTGGAGCGGTCACCCTGCCTGGTGGGCATTGTCCCCATTGTGTACTACAGTGTCCTGCTGGGGCTGGGGCTACCAGGTGAGGGGGCTGGGGGGGCAGGGCGGTGCAGGGGCAACACCTACCTGGGTCTGAGCCCCTCTGAGGGTTGCTGAGCTCTGTGCCCTCGGCTGCTGGCAGAGCCTCAGCTCCTGTGCCAGCCTTCCATCACCCTAGGGAGTTTGGGGATGGGGAGGAGAGTCCTCAGGGTGGGAGAACCAAACCTGCTCCCCCTGCCCTGGCCTCAGATCCGGCCCCAGTGCCTGGCTGTGCTGCCCAGCCCCAGGGCAGGTGCCACCACCACAGGGACAGATGGTATTTGTGTTGCTTGGGCTGACACACAGAAGAGATTAATCAGCTCAGCAAATCCCCATAGCACCAGGATATTTATAGCTCCCCCCCAGCTGGAGCCTGGGCACCCCTGGGGTCCTGAGTGCTGCAGGGGGGGGTCTCACCACCACCCATCGCTCCCCTCCCTCCAGTGAACATCCTGAGCGCTGTGGCCCTGTCCCGCCTGGCCACCAGGACCAAGAAGTCATCGTACTGGTACCTGCTGGCCCTGACCACCTCCGACATCCTCATCCAGGTCTTCATCATCTTCATGGGCTTCATCCTGCAGACGGTCATCCTGGCCCGGGCGGTGCCCAGCGCCTTCATCCACACTGTCAATGTGCTGGAGTTCACAGCCAGCCACGCCTCCACCTGGGTCACCGTGCTGCTCACCGTGGACCGCTACGTGGCCCTGTGCCACCCGCTGCGCTACCGCGCCGTGTCGTACCCGCAGCGCACGCGCAGGATCATCGCGGCCGTGTTCGCCGCCGCCCTGGCCACCGGCATCCCCTTCTACTGGTGGCTGGACGTGTGGCGCGACGCCGACCCGCCCACGGCGCTGGACACGGCGCTCAAGTGGCTCCACTGCGTCACCATCTACTTCCTGCCCTGCAGCATCTTACTGGCCACCAACTCCATCATCATCCTCAAGCTGAAGCGGTGGCGGCGCGCGGGGGGCGGCAAGACCACGGCGCTGCTCCTGGCCGTCACCACCGCCTTCGTGGTGCTCTGGGCCCCCCGCGCCGTCGTCATGATGTGCCACCTGTACGTGGCCTCGGTGAGGAGGGACTGGCGCATGCACCTGGCCTTGGACATCGCCAACATGGTGGCCATGCTCAACACCTCCCTCAACTTCTTCCTCTACTGCTTCGTCAGCCAGACCTTCAGGCGCACGGTGGGCGAGGTGCTGCGGGGGCACCCCCGGCATGGCCCTCCCCGCCGGGGCAGTGGCCACTTCCCACCCCCGGCCCTCAAACCGCTGGAGCTGTTGGCCGGCACCACGCTCTGAGCCAGGGCAGTGCCTGGCTGGGGGTCCCAGCGCCCACCCAGCCCCACGCATCACACCGGGACCTGGGGAGACCTCCACGGAGCCAGGGTTAATGCTGGTGGTGGCAGGAGGAGGTGGTTGTGCCCAGCCACTCATTTTGGGCCCTTGGGGTGCCCAGCCTGGTGACAGCACCCCAGGATCCCCTGCCCGCTCCCTGAGCCCCACCAGGATGGGCAGCTCAGCCCTATCCATGCTCAGTCCCTCCAGACACAGAGCACTGGGACCCCCAAGAACTCATCCAGGATGTGCCCCAGCTCGGGTCCAGGGGAGCAAGCGGGCACGGCTGCCTGTGGTGAGGGGTGGTGGGCACAGCTGAGCTCCTGTAAGACCTGCAAGGACATAGTGCCCGCTGGGAGCCCACAGGATGATCCTTCTACTGTAAACTGACGTGCTGAGACCAGAACTCTGCCTGGGTCTGGCTCCCTGTGGGCAGATGGAACGGGGACACCCTGCTCCAGCACCCCTGGCACGGGGTCCCTCTGCCCTGCCCACCCCAGTGCCCCCACCCTGCTGCCCGAGGGGTGCTGCAGGGAGCACCCACGAGGTCCAGTGACCCCAGCTCTGGGGCCTGGACACATGGTAAGACCCCAGCTCCTGGCCCCTACCTGACAACCTCTGGGGGTGTCCCCGCCAGGCTGCAGCCCCCCCAGGGCACCCAGGGTGTCCC